GTTCATAGAATTCTTAACATGGGCACAGTAAGTATTAATAACTATTTAATACTGAAAGAACTCTAAGTAAGGTGGTCCATAAGGCCATTGGTCACCTGGCTGGGTAGGCAGCTAGGTAACGCAGTAGATAGAATACTGGGCCTGGAGTCAGAAAGATAAAAGTTCAAGACTGGCCTCAGAAACTGAGGTCATGTGACCTGTAGCAAATTCCTTAACCTCTGCTTCACTTTCCTCAACTATAAAATAGGGACGACAGTAGCCCCTATTTTCCAGGGTTGTTATGAAGCTCAAATGAGATAATATTTGTAGAAGTATTTAGTACACTGCCTGGCACATTACAGGTACTTAATAAATGCTTATTTTCCCTTTCCCTGGTCCATTGTTTAACTACATACACCCTGCTGACAGCAGGAGAATTTATATCGGACCTGAATCCCACCCATGTGTAGAAATTAAGCTTGATCTTTAGATTAATTAATTCATCCGTTTTTTTTCCTTCTTCAGGCTACACAACGTCATATCCCTTAACCCGTTTCTCTAGGTTTTATTTAAAAAAATATAACACACTATGGAACTTTAAAGCTATAAGGACTCTTAGAAATCATTTATCTAATCTCATTTTCCTGGTTATAGATGCAAGACTGAGGTTTAGAAGGGGAGAAGGTAAAGTCAATCAGTACTTATTAAGCATTTACTATCTTCAATCTTTACAATACTATCTTTGTCTTTGTGACAAGTGCTGAGGATACAAAGAAAGGTATCCCTGCCCTTTCTTCTCCAAAAAAGAAACAAGAAAATAGCCCCTGCCTTTATGCAAAGCTTGCATTCTACTGGAGGAGACCACATGCAAAAAAAGAAAACACAAACCTCCTCCCCCCCCCCCGCAAAATAAAAAACCCAACCAACTCATACATACAAGATAAGTACAGTGTACCTCAAAGTTAATCTAACAGGGATGGCACCAGCAGTTTGGGGCTGGGGGGACAGGAAAGGCCTCCTTCAGAAGGTGGGATTTGACAGTCTTGGAAACTCTTGAAAAGAGGTCATACTTATGATGGAAAATGCCATCCACATCCAGATGAAGAACTGATTGAGTCTGAATGCAAGTTGAAGCATATTATTTTCACCTTTTTGGGTGTTTTTCCCCTTTTGTTCTGTTTTTTCTTTCACAACATGACTGATGTGGAGACATGTTTTACATGATTGCACATGTATAACCTATATCAGAATGCTTACTGTCTTGGAGGGGGGAGAAAAGGAGAAACATCTGAAACTCAAAATCTTATAAAAATGAATGTTGAATATTATCTTTATATGTAATTTAAAAAACAAAATATTATTTACATAAAAAAGAAAAGAGGTCATGGAAGCCAGGAGGTAGAAGTCTGGAGGGAGGTCATTGGAGACAGCCGATGAAAAGCCACTGAGATAGGAGGTGGAAAATACGTCCCAGGAACAGTAAGAAGGTCGGTGTTGTTGGAGCCTAGAGTCTGTGAAGAAGAATAAAGTATACAATGACTGCGAATGTGGGAAGAGCCAAGTTGTGAAAAACTTTAATAGCCAAGCAGAGTTTCATATTTGATCCTAGAGAAAAGAGAAAGGCCCAACAATTTGTCAAATTGAGCAGGAGGCAGGTAATGATGTGGTCAGAGCTGCACTTTAGGAAGATTCTTTTGGTAGCTGAGTGGAAGATAGATGAGTGGAGAGAGACTCGAGGCAGGAAGACCAACCAGAAGACGACTGCAGTTATTTCAGGCATGAGAGGATAAAGGTCCCTATGTAGTGGCAGCTTTGTGAGTGAAGAGAGAAAGATGCACGAGGGGTGCTGTCAAGGTAAAAATAATAAGATTTGGCAACAAATTAGGTGTGAGTGCAAGTGGAGAGTCTAGGCTGTGAGCCTGGGAGGATGGCAGTGCTTTTGAAGTTGTTCTTGTTTTCTAAGAGACCAATGACATCATGAGGTGATGATGTGCATGTGAATTGGATTGACGTGAGGCAGATTTACAAAAAGTCATCAACCTCACTCTCTCTTCCAGAGTCATCAAAGTCCAGCAGCAAGACAAAAGATGACTGGCGATGACCCAGGCTACAGTGGATGATTGTAGTGTCTTTGGTGTCCAGACAAGCTCTATGTGCTCCCCAGTGCCTGTTTCAGCTGCCTTCATGGCCATTGGAACAAATTGTTATTATCCGCCCATTCCATGGGAGGACATCTTCCCATGCTGAGTGTAGACATCCCCCTAACTTACTGACAGGTTTGAGGCTTGTCAGTCACTCTGGACTTGGTTTAGCCTGTCTGCTGAGATGGTTTTACCAGGGTGTGGTTGCTAGGCATGCTATAGCTTCTTGGGGTCACAGGTAAGAGCTGGGTGAGAGGTGGCCACCAGAGGTGGATGAACAGCCCTGAAGAGGGCTTGGCAAGCCCTTGAGCTAGATGTGCTAGACCTCCTGAACGCCCTACACACTCTACACCACCTCGACAGTAACAGGGAATTGATCAAAGTCACTCAGTCACATAGTTGGAAAGTGACATAGTTGGAAATATTTGTGACACACAAAGTCACATAGTTGGAAAATTGCAGATTGTCACTAGGCTCCCATCTTTTGACTCCTGTTTTGGTTTTCCTTCCAAACTTTTTAAACACTAATTTTTAAAAGTATGTGTATATATATATATATATATATATATATATATTTAATTAATTAAAATATATTTAAAAATATAAAAAATTGAACCTGCTCATTACTAACAAAAACAATTTGATATACAAAGGACAAAGAAAGAGGGCTGCATGTGAAACCATGATATTACACTGACTTTTTAATCATCTTCATTATCCTTCTCTGGACTTGTTTAGTTTGACCACTTTCCTGTAAGATAATATATCCTTAAATGGGACCTGGTCATCTAGTAAGGTCCTTACCATTACGGAGAAATCCATGAGGGTGATTTTAGGATCCCTAAGCACTAATTGCCATTATGGAGTTGGATATGCACTCAGGAAGACCTGAATTCAAAATTTGCCTTTAAAATCTGCTTTTTGTATGACCATGGACAGGTCACTTAATCTTAGAATTTTAAACAGTTCTTTAATGCTTTAAGTTAGAGAGGGGTTTGTGGAGGGAAACTTTATCATGGATTCGGTGTAATCTTTTATATATAAGAATACCAGAATTGCTGAAATGACCAAACAGAGATCCAAGCAACCTAGCATGCCCAGAATAGCATTATGGAGAAAGCCTGCTCAGTTTTTACCAACATGCATGCCTTCTTCCTTCTGTTTATAGCAATAACACCACAATTCTCCCAGTGAACTAGGTTTGATATCTTAGGGTATGTTTTCTACAATATTAGATCCTGAGTTCCTTGATAACAGGCATTATTTTTGCCTTTGTATTCCTAGGGCTTTTCTGTGTCTAGTACTTAGAGATGCTTAATAAATCATATTGTTTTGACAAAAGGATGCTTTTTCAAAATAGCTGGCATAGAAGAATGTATTTGCCAGCTTTTCTAATGACATTTGAATTTGTGCCAATATACAATTATATATATATGTATATATATGTATATGTATATGTATATATATACACTTCTTGCTTTTTTTAAAATCCAAATTGAAGTAACAGGACAGTGCTCCTAGGACCTCTCCCTGAGTTGTAACAGATAGCTCAGACAGGGCTCATTATCCTTAAATGTAATAATCTACAATTCTTAGTAACCATGAATGATTGTTTCTCTCTTGATTCTTGCAAGGTAGGAAGATGAAGGAAAAAATGACCAAAAACAGGAATTGATCATCAATAGACTTTATTTTCAATTTTCATGCAGCATTCTGAACAGAAAAGGCCAGGACTAAAACATCAGTAGAGAGACTATGGCATAATGGAAAGTGAGCTGGCCTTTGAGGCAAGGAGACAAACTTCAAGGCTGATGTAGGCTGACTGACTGTTGGACCTTTGGCAAATTGCTTAATCTCTCTGTAACCTAGAGAGTTGCAGCATTGGTAGAGGGAATTTCCTCACTGGGAGTTCACAGATCTGGACAAAAAGACAACAGTAAGCAGGGGTACTGTTTTATGTATGATTACTGTATGTGTGATTACCACATGAAATATTCTTCCATTTTGCTCACACTGATTTTTTTGACCCAGAGTCTTTGAAGTAGGTTCCTCAAGAGACTTATTGTACCTGCCCCCTAAAGCTAAGGGTAATGCCATTAATCTGGTAATGGAGAATGATGAAACGTCTTAGCATTAATATCAGGGATACATAGGAGAGCAGATTTAAAGTTGGGAGGTATGTTAGTCGCCCAGCCCATTTTTCAGATGAGGAAACTCAGGTCCAGAAAGTTTAAATAACTTGACTAAGGCCAGTTAGTCACAGAACTGAGATTCAGACCTAGGTTATCTGATTCTAAAAGAAAGGCCATTTCCACTGAGTTATGGAATTTTGGAATGAATTTGGAAATTCTATTAGAAGAATAACTTATCTGTGCCCATGAATGAGTAGCATACTTTGGTTGTGAAATAATAGTTCAGAAACTACTTCTCCATTGCCATCATTAAAAACCCTATGATGCAATAACTTGAAAATATATGATTCAAAGAAACTGTTATCTGATGTAAAAAGAAAAAAGGAAAAAGTGTGTGTGGGAGAACCTCAAAATTTTTAGTGGAAAGGAATCTCCAGATGAAGGGATACCCAAATGACCAGAGTCTATTGTGGACCACTCCATGTCATATTGTAGATTTAAAAAAAAAAACTGACTGTATTTACTTGGTTAGAAGTCTTTTTCCTTGGTGGTAATTCCTAAGGCTAAATGCTTTGCTACTTGGTTTTGTAAAAATTCAGAATGGGGACTTAAAGGATGATGATGATGGTGATGATGATGATGATGTTTGTGTGTGTGTATGTTTGTGGGTGTTTGTGTGGTGGGAGTGGGGGTTGGGTGGGCTTTTGATAGGCAAAGGTCACTATTGACAGTTTCTCCCTGATAATAATCAACACTTTTTTGGGCTGCCATCCCTTTGTTGTTGCTGGTCTTGCTGAAGCTGGCCATCTTCCTGTGACTGAGATGCTAGGGTCTTTTGCTGGCTGCCATGATCTTCATCAGCCTCAGGGTCCCCTACTTGAAGCCTTGGCTCTTGCCTGTAGCCACAGAGTGGATCAAGGAGGGCTGAGCACTCAGAAGTCTTACTCCTCTGAGGTTCTCTCTCTATCCTCAATTCAGGGCCAAAGGCCTGAGTTGTATCAGTTTGACTTGGGTGCTCTTCGGGGGCTGGGAGGTCAGGCTGTGCAGGTGTCATCTGTACATTTTCATATATTCGGTTGGAATGTACTTCATCTCCTGAGGATGAACAAGGCTCTGTGTCTCTGGCTTTCCTCTCTACCTGCTCTGAGAGCCCTGGTGAAGAATTATCTTCTTTATTCACCACGTGCTGTTCCCTCACTTCTCCTGCTAGCCTCTGGGGGCTATTGTCTTCCTTCGTCACTGGGTTCAGGGTATCAGAACTTGAATCCAGGGTGAGAGCTTGTGTTTCTGGGTCCCGACCTTCTAATGGGGCTTCCTGGCTCTCAGACTCTTCCCCTTCTTCTTTTGCATCTGGGCCATGAGCCTCTGGGTCTTTCCCTTGGTTTTTTCCCTCTGATTCCTGTACTGTGGAAAGCTGCCCATCATCATTATCATCTGTAGGATCTGTGATCTCTGTCTTTGGGGATGTTGCTGTTACCTTTTGTTTCATGGATTCCTGAGCCCCTGGCTGACTCTCAGACTCCTCAATTGTGGCTGGTGTTTTAGTCACTGCTGGTTTCTTCTCCTTTTCTTTGGTGAGTTGTTCCAGTTTTTCTGTGGTATTCTCATTGTGTTCTCTGTCTATTGGCACCTCTGTTTTGGGGGTTTTACTTTTGTCACCTAGTATTGGGGATTCCTGGGGATTCTTGCCATCTTCTTGGTCAGGCTGTTCCTGGGCATTCGCTTGTCTCTGGCAGTTCCTTTGTGCAGGCAGGTCCCTTGGTGCTGAGCCACTCTCCACATCTCCTTGATTATTGTGTGTTTCAGAGAGTGTCCCGTCATTCTGATTCTCCGCCTTGTGTTTATCATATTGCTCAGTTGGTTGGTCCAGAGTCTGAGCGACTCTCCCATTTTTTCCTCCAGACTGGTTATCTTTCAGTCCTGATCCTTGCACCCTGTCTTTTGTTTCTGATGTTCTCTCTGCCACAGAGGCACTCCTATTGTCTCCTGAGAATTCTGGTTCGCTTAGTTCAGAAACTGTGACCTCCTCGTCTGAGGCTGCTGGTCCTTTGTGTTCAGGGTGGTTCTGATCATCTCTTGATTGTAAGTCTGGGGTTACAGAGTCTTTCCTAATGTCCCCATCTTCTGCTAGTCCCTCAAGTTGCCTTTCCTTCCCATCAGGCTCTTGTTCAGTGAAAGTTTCCATTTGATTGTCTTCCTCATTTACTTTTTGCCCAACCGTTTCTGGGTTCTCAGGTTTTCTCTTCCCTTTCCTCTCATCTACAAGCACTTCTGTCTCTGAGACTCTACTGCCATTACCTTTGGCTAGCATGTCTTGAGTTTCATATTCTCTCTGTACTGGTGGCTCTTGGATATCTGCAGCTCCATCATCATCCCTGTAGTCTGGCAATCTCTTGGTTTCAGATAGTTTTTCCTCAGCCCTGTCTGTTGACAGGTCAACTGTCTCTGATTTTCTCTCATGATTCTCTTGGGATGATGGTTCTTGTGTCTCAGTGTGTTCCCCAGCCTCCTTTATGAGGGTCTCCTCCTGACTCTCAGACGCTTTGTGTGCCCTTTCTTCTGTACGTACACTCCGAATCTCAATGTTTTGTTCCTCTTCCTGCTCTGATGGCTGATCCCTTGTGTTTGTGCCACCTCGCCCTCTGGACACTTCATTTCCCTCACTTATATTCTCCTCCTCCTTTCGAGAACAGGCTCTCTTCACAAATTCCTTGGGTGACCTTTTTTCTTCAGGCGGGACTTGATCACCTCCTGTTGCCTGGACTTGCATTCTTTCTGGGCTCTGCTCATCTCCTTCATCTTGGGATTGACTCTTAGGGTGGTTGTGCTCAACTTCTCTTCCTGGCAATCTGGGAGTCTCAAGGTCATCCTGAGGGTTCTCTTTGGTTAGTCTGTCAGGTCCTTTTTCTAGGGGGTTGACCAGAGATGGAGATTCAGTACCTGTCAGTCTCTGCTCATACTGACCCAATCCTGCATCTTCTTGGTAGTGTTCACTGGTCTCACATGCTTCCATGTCCCTTGACAACTCTTCCTCGGCATCGGATTCTGCTTCAGGTTCCCGATTCAGGAAAGACTGTATGTCTTGGTAAACTATATCCAACAAGTCAAAGACCAGGAGGAGAAATTCATCGAAGCTGATGGAATTATCACCATATCTATCCAAAAGATTTGAGTTGGTTCCTGCGGTAAGAATATCAAATGGCTATAGGAGGGAAAAAGCAAGAAAGTAGTTTATTAATGGGTAGTCACATGTCCAGCACAACTTTTAGATGAACACTAGTACTTGGAAATAGCCAGAATTTCCCCGAGTGTTTAGAATGGCAATGTGGAAAGTGCCTGGAATTTGGAACAAGAGGACCCTAGTCAAATCCTGCATCAGCCACTTGCTTGGGTGACCTTGAGCCATTCATTCTCTCAGGGTCTTGGTTTCTTCATTTGTAAAATGAGGGAATTGGACTAGGTGACCTCTTGGTTCCCTTCTGGCTTCAAATCTATGATCCTGAATAGGATTGCAGCAAAATAGCAACCTTATGTTAAGTTGAATAGATTGTTTTGGACCAAAGATATTCAGTGGTCTCCTGAGAAGGTACCTGACTTCCTGAAACAATGGACAGTCTAGGAGAGTGGGTTATTGGTTGTTTTTTAAAACAAAAATTTACATGATCCTCAAAGTAAGTCCATAAGGGTAAAACTGATTTGACAAAAATTATTTCAGATTCTATAAGCACAGGTAATTTAGGAGGAGGAGTAGAATGAGAAGGAAATCACTCATGCCTTTGTAAATGAGTGCCCACCTTGGCCCAGGACAAGAAGAAAGAGCAAGATCTTTCTCTTTTGTAGCACTTAATAGTTCTCACCTTCAGAAACTCCCCAATCTCCCCCAGGAGGAGCTGCTTTAGCTGTCCCGAGCTTAGTGTCCAACAATCACCTTCCTCTCTTGCATATTTTTGGAAAGTCTCGATGACACAGATGACACCTTGTAGGAGCTGAGGCATTTTCACCAGTTTAAGACAAGCTGAGAGAGAGAGAGAGAGAGAGAGAGAGAGAGAGAGAGAGAAAGAGAGAGAGAGAGAGAGAGAGAAGGTAGAAACAAAAGCTATTCTTCAGATTGAATTCCTTAAGAAAGAGATGCCACAATTGTTATCTCTCTTCCTCCTCCCCTCCCCACCCAGTCTCCCCTTTTCTAGTCTGCTTATAAATACATATAAGCATAGTAACTGAACCCAGTGTCCATTTTCTTTTATGAGGCACTGGGGATTTTTCAGTTGTGTCTGACTCTTTGAGACCCCATTTAGGGTTTTCTTGGCAAAGATATTGGAGTGGTTTGTCATTTCTTTTTCCAGCTCATTTTACAGATGAGGAAACAGGGTTAAGTGACTTGCCCAGGGTCATACAGCTAAAAAGTGTCTGAAGCCAGATTTGAACTCAGGAAGAAGAGTCTTCTTGATTCCAGGCCTGGCACTCTATCAATTGTACCATCTAGCTGCCCTGAGATAGGGGCTACAGGTATTATTATCATCATTTTATAAATTTGGAAACTGAGGCTCAGAGAGGCTCAGAGTGCCTATGGTCACACAGTGACAGAGGCAGGATTCCATCCCAGTTCTTCCTGGTGTAAGTCCAGTGCTCTATCCCCTACCCAAATGGTGGGCCTTGTGTTCAACACCTCTGCAGTACCATGTGGCCTCTTCCATGACAAGATTATTATTAGCTAACATTTATATGGCACTTTAAACTTCTCAATATGTTTTGCATTTGGCTGATAAGATCAGGAATGATGATTTAGGAGAAGAATAAAGATCTTTCCTCTGTTGGCTGAGGCTTCCTGCCCAAAGGAGCTCCTGGCTCCATGGGACAGTCAGCTTTCACAGAGAAGGTGCTTCTTGAATATAGCTAGAAAAACATTAATTGTAACATCAATGATCTAAGCCTCCCTTTATCCGGAGAAAAAGACAGGTAAAGGGAAACATCAAACAAACGGTTTGAGGCTGTTGTTTCAGAAAGTACCTGCTTGTGTTTCAAAGATGTGATAAAATCACCTGCTGATTAAACAGGACCAGTCCTAGCCCCTGAGTCATTATAGTCCCATGTCTAACCATCATTTAAATGGTTTTAATCTAAAAATTTTTATCTCTGTGTGAAACAAAGTGGTCCAACTTGTTTTGCTAAATATTTGTACCTGTGTCAGCCAAATAGTTCAAAATGCTTTTTTGAAACTTAAAGGGCCCAAAGGAACACTGGAAAGAGCAGTGGCCTTGGAGTCAGAAGACCTGAGTCTGAGCTTCGGAAATGTCATTTATGAAGCGTGGGGACCTTGGGCAAATCTCCCATCCTCCCTGCCCTCGGTTTCCTTATTTATAAACTAGAGACGATAATTACATTATTTATCTTACACGGTTGTTGTGTAGATCAAATGAAGTAATAATGTCTCTAAAACATCCTGTGACTCTGAGGGGCTACATAAGTGCAATATATTTCATCATTGTTACCATTTTTACTATAATAATTGTTGTACAGACCTCAACCATTGTACTCACCAACTTTGTATCAGTAACAAAAGCATATACTAAGGTTTCCTTAGTTTTTTTCCCCACTTTTTTTTTTTTAGCAGAAAAGCAATGTACTACCTGGGATGTTAAAGGTGCCCTCCCCCCTACTCCCCTTCCCCAGTAGAAAAGGGTTGAAACTCACCTCTTTCACCAACAGGAAGACGTAGTATGTGGAGCAGCAGTTGGTAGACTGATGGCTGGCCACCTGTAACCTTTTATTCAGTCACTAATTGCACATGGGAGATAGGAAGGAGACACCCTCTGGGTCTGATGACCTGATTCATCACCAACTGAGCCCAGCCCTCCTCCCTCCCCTTCCTTTTCTACAGCCAGGCTGCCCAATTTCCCATTTCCTTCTCTGTGATGCTTCAGTTAGACTCAGACATGAGCCTTATCCAGAGGAAGGCCAGGAGCACTGATCAATCTTGGGTTTGATTTTGCCAGAGGCTGAAGATTGTAACTGTGGGCTTTGGGGCGGTGTCTGGGGTAAGGCGTTGGCTACTGTTAATTTAACCCAAGGACCCAACAGCATTTCTATTTGACAGGTCATAGGACTATCAGGGACTTTAGAGGTCATCTGATCCCTCCCTCTGCCTCCAGGATGGCACATCTGACCCAGCCCCAATAGAAGGGCGTCAATCATGTGTTTAAAACAAAGGGTCTGCTTTGCCATGTGACAAAGTGGAGATACTAGTTCTTTCGGATGTGGGAGCTAAATGTAGCTATTTTCCTGCCCAAAGGTGGTGTTGGGGGGGGGGCGGGCAGAATAATAGCCTGTTACTAATGGCAGAGAATTTGCTGCATTCCTCCTATGTTGTGTTTATATGATGTAGAGCTATTTTCCTTAGGCATTTTTCAGTCCAAGGATAAGGACAGAGTTACGATTAGGGAATATGTAGAAGATGAAATTTTTTCTACCCATGTGGGTCAGGAATTTCTCTAAACTTATAGTCTCAGGGAGCTCCCTAGGGAATTGAGAGGTCATCAGTAGGTCAGTTAGTCAGTCAGTCAGCAAGTATCCATTAAGTGTTTAGTTTGTTTAAGACACTGTGCTAAGCTCTGGGGATATAAGGAAAGGCAAAAAAACCCCCAATTACTGTTCTTGAGGAGAGTCAAAGAAACAATGTGTAAATAACTAGGTACATGTAAGACATAGAAATGGAAGTAATATAAATGGAAGGAAATCTGAAACGGGAGGGCATTAGCAGCTAGAGGGACTGGGAAAAGTTTCCTGCAAAAGATTGAGTTGAGCCTTGAAGAAAGCCAAGGAAATTGAGCAATGGAGATGAGGGAGTTGAACCATTCAAGCAGGGGTCATTGAGTCCAAAGGCATGGAAATGGAACTATTTCAAAGAATTACAAGTAGGCCTGTGTAGTGGTACTGTCAACTAAGGTATAAGAAGAGTGGAAAGGTAGGCAGCGGGAATCAAATAGAGAACTTCATATTTGAGCTTGGAGGAAATAGGGAGCCACAGGGGTCATTGAGTACAATGGTGACATAGTCAGACCTATGCTTTAGAAAAAAAAAATCACCTTTGCAGCTACATGGAATTTGGATGAGAGTAGGAGGAGTCCAGTTAGAAGGCTGTTGCAATAGTCTAGGTAAAGAGTGATGAAGATCTTAACTAGAGGTGAGGTTGTATGAGTGGAGAGAAGGGGACATAAATGATAGACTGTCTAATAGTGGAAAGAACAAGACTTGGAAAGGGATTGGATATATAGGGTGAGTGTGAAATGTCAAGGATGATACTGAGATTTCAAACCTGGGGAACCAGGAGGAAGTTGGTATCATTACCAGTAATGAGAAATTTGGGAGGAGAGGTTGGTTTTGGGAGAAAGATAATAGGAAAGATGCTGCTGTTTTTATCATGTTGAGTTTGAGATACTTATAGGACATCCATTTGAGCTGTCTAGCAGGCAGTTAGAGAGGTGCGACTGGCTCTGAAAATATAGATCTGAGAATTTGTTATATAGATCTGGGAATCATCTGTATAGGGAAGATAATTGAACCAAAGGGAACTCATGACACTGTCAAGTGCTAAGCTTGTAGGTGGTAGTGGATTTGGGCCTGGAGTCAGGAAAATCTGAGTTCAAATATGGCCTCAAACACTTTACTAGCTGTGTGACCCTGGACAAGTCACTAAACCTCAGTTTACCTCAACTGTAAAATATGAAAATAACTGTACCTACCTCAAAGAGTTGTGAATACTAATGAGATACTGACTTGCCTAGGGTCACCTGGCCAGAATTGAAGAGATGGGACTTGAACTCAGGGTTTGAGGCCAGCTTTCCTTCTACAGTGCCACATTTACTCTCTTTATAGTTCAAAGGTGTTATAAATTAACAGCCCAAGTCACTGACTCCATTCTACAGAGAAGCAAAGAGAAAGTTTAAGGCTCACATTATTGATGAGACATTGGGAAGAGGTTGAAGGAGAGAGGAAGAGGATGAAGGAGTCCTCTAGATGCCTTATTGACAGTGCTCTTTGGAAGCTCGAGAAGCGTGTTCCTTCTATTAGAGAGCACAAACCATAAGACTCATCATGAGAGCACTGAGTGAGTGTAGGGGAGAAATCCTGTATCAATTGCTTTAGAATATAGACTATTTCTAGGTATTACAAAAAAAGGTGGTGGTGGGGGGGAAGAAGACCCTTTCACCAGAAACTGGAATGGGATTTGATGTCAGTTCCTTGTAATATGTGTCATATGAAGACTGCTCAAAAGAACCAAGATGTTTATCCTTAAGAAGAGAAGATAGTGCATATATCCTAACAGTCTTCAAATATTAAAGACAATCTCTGTGGTACTGTAACCCTCATTGATTATGGGGATCGTAGGAGAAGGGTTGAGGATATATCATATGTCTATGCACTTTTTGCTTGTAAAATAAAAATATGATGAAGTTGAAAATAACACTGGGCTTTCAGTTCAAGCACCCGCACTTGATTAGGTAAATCCCTTTAACTTTTTGGACCTCAGTTTCCTCACAAGTAAAAGGAAGCAGTTGGACTAGATAGTAACTAACATTTACAAGGACCTTTAAAGTTTACAAAGTGCTCTATGAACATTAACTCATTTGAAACTCACAACCACCCTTTGAAGTAGCCCATGTCAAACCTTGAGCCCCTCAAAAAGACACTAGTTGTGTGACGGGGCAAATTATGTAACTTCTCTCAGCCTCAGTTTTCTCGTCTTTAAAATGAAGGTTTGATGGCCTGTAATCTTTCAGCTCTAAATCAATGGTTCAATGAAGGAAAAGAATGAAGCTACTGAAGATTCTTTAATGAGGGAGTGACATCATAAGACTTGTATTTGAAGAACGTAGATTTTGCTATGATGTGTAGGACGAGTTGGAACAGTGAGACACTACAAGCAAGGAGAGAAATTGACAAATTAAGGGGCAGCTAGGTGGTGCAGTGGATAGAGCACCGACCCCAAAGTCAGGAG